AAACTAAGCAAATTGGAATTAATTTTTTGGTGAACTATGACAAATTTGAACTTCTCTTTAATTATAACTGGAGAATACCTTTGGGAATACCACCCTGCCAGGGTTAAAATCTCAGATTAGTTTTATTTTTGCCTAAGGTTAGGAGGCCACACTAGATGCTTTGAATGAAGCCCCTTTAGCTTTATGATTCTGTAATTGTCTTTTGCACCTTTTGATTTGGGTTATAAGTGATGTCATAAAATTTATTTCTCAGCCACCCCCTCTTTCCCCTCCCATTTTCCTTTGCTGCAAGAAAGACAGAAAAACAGAAAGAACAAACAATAACAACAAAAAAGCCTCTACAACTGTAGTGATATGCTTCAGCATTTCCCATCCTCTGGACATAGCATTCACTCCATCTTCTCATCTTATTTCTGATTGCTTCCTAAGACCCCTGCGTGTTCTATCTGCAACAGCCCCTCTTCAGTAGAATTAGGGCCTTATGTCCTCAGCTGATGACTGAATGTCTGTCGGCAGCCTTGTCCTCTGCCCCTTCCTCCTGTCCCATCTTCATTCCTTTGTCCTCCTTCCTTTCTCTTTTCTCCTCCGTCCCCTCTCCCCTGTGCCATGCAGGAGGGTCCCCCCCAGCTGACCAGACCCTGGTCATCAAGACATTCCGCTTCCTGTCACAGAAACTCTTTATCTCCGTCTCAGTTCTCTCCAGCCTGGGCATTGTCCTAGCTGTTGTCTGTTTGTCCTTTAACATCTACAACTCCCATGTCCGGTAAGTTTCTCTTCTGGCATTTTTCTGTCTTCCTGTCCAAGAAAATGAGCATGCTTCTTGAAGGGAGTGAGACTAGAACCTGTGTAACTCCTTAGGCCATGTGTCATGAAGGTTTTCATTCTGACTTACTGAGGATGAAAGAGGGGAAAATCAGATACACCCCCCACCCCTGCTCCAAAGAAGCTCACTGGGGGGGGGGGGACAAAAAATACCCCAAACCTTTGGGGCTCTAAATAAATAGACTGTTTCTGGTGGGGCCTTATGCTGGGTGAGGCCCCCGCAGCTCCATCTCCAGCCCAGTGACCAAGTTCACTTTGTCTCTTAAGGCTCTGCCACCTGCTGCAAGCCTGTCTTCCTTTAGCCCTGTGGCCCTGAAGTTGGGGTCATGCATTGCATGGCATTTGGAGAGATGAGCCTCCTTGGAGAACAGGGGTAATTCTGCTCTCCCCTCCCCCACCCTCCCCGCCTCTGCCCTAGTTACATCCAGAACTCACAGCCCAACCTGAACAATCTGACTGCTGTGGGCTGCTCGCTGGCATTAGCTGCTGTCTTCCCTCTTGGGCTGGATGGTTACCACATTGGGAGAAACCAGTTTCCCTTCGTCTGCCAGGTGAGGAGGTGGTGGGCAAATACCTTGCAGAATGTGGCTCTCCTGTGATTTATGGAGCACTTTCTGTGATTTATGTTCCACACCTTTCCTTCTCTCATCTTTCCCTTCATCCTAGCATCACCCCTCTGGTCTATTTGGCTCCGTCCCTTCTTTCTGTGCCTCCAGACCTTTTCATTCTGTAGTTCACTTGTCAGTTCCAAGGTTGCCATGGCATGCCTTGTACAGAAGAGGAGGGAGGTGTTGAGAACAAAGGAAGGGGGTCTGCACAAAGAACCCCTGAACAATGGTGGCTTGTCTGTGGTGTGGGAGCTGAGAACCGGAACTGTGGACTTCCCACGGCAGCCTCAGTTGGGGTTTGGAAGGATGGAGGCAGAGATCTAAACAGACAGCAGAGAGAGATGGGGGAAGGGACCACTGTCACACAGGGAGGAGGGCCTCCAGGGCTCTTGGAACATGCAAGGTTCTGGGGCAGTGGGGAAAGTCTGGCTTCAACAGTGATATTTGAGTGGTTCTTTATTATACTGGTGGGAAACACCCACTCTTTCCTTGATTTGGCCCATTCTTTCTCTTTCCTCTGCCCTGTGCTGTCCTGATAACACATCTGTGCACGTCATTTGCACACACATGCACATGCAGTTCATCAGGAGTTATCTATTCCCAGTGAGACCAGACTGCAGTGGGAGAAGCTGACAATTATCTGCACTGCAATAGGAGAGGTTCTAGAGTAGTGATTTGCACAAAGTGCTATGGGAGTGACTAAGGGAGTGCAGATCACAGTCAGGGTGGTTGGGTGGGCCTTATAAAAGAGGTGATGTTTGAATATCGGATGCATCGATTTTGTCAATCTGAAAAATAGAGGAAGGTTACTCCAGGAGCACAGGGAACATCATGTGGCTAGGAAAGGCATGAAAGAGAGTGGTGCAGCATGGCTGGAGCATGGCGTGGGTGAGGGCCTGGGAGGTGAGCCTGGACAGGTGGGAGGGGCCATATGGTGAAGGGTCTGTGTTGCATCGGAGGTGCTCAAGCTGTGACCTGTAGGTACTGAGGAACAGTGAGAGGTGTTTGTTTTCTAAGATCCTCTTAGTGGTGTAGAAGTAAGAGATGGATTGTAGGAATTTTGGGAAGTAGGTAGTCTTCTGCTGCCCTGCCCCTTCCCCACACACATTCCCCCCACTGGCTGTGCCCTGCCTGCTGTCTGCCCACACTCTTCCTGTGGCTCTGCCCATCCTATCCACTGTCCCACCCTCTGTCTGCTCTGTTCTACCTGTGCCCTCTCCTTTTCCAGGCCCGTCTCTGGTTCCTGGGCCTGGGCTTTAGTCTGGGCTATGGCTCCATGTTCACCAAGATCTGGTGGGTCCACACAGTCTTCACAAAGAAGGAGGAGAAGAAGGAGTGGAGGAAGGTGAGCCACTTCCCAGTCCTCAGCACTAGCTTTTTGGCTCCTGGGGCTCAGAGGATTTTCCCCTGATGTGCCTGTGCTCCCTGCATGTTTGCCTAGACCTTGGAGCCCTGGAAGCTGTATGCCACAGTGGGCCTGCTGGTGGGCATGGATGTCCTCACTCTCGCCATCTGGCAGATTGTGGACCCCTTGCACCGGACCATTGAGGTACTGCTTGAGAAGAGGTGCTGGGGGCAGGAGGCAGAGTAGGGTCACAGGCTGTCACGTTCCCCCAGGCCGTGCATGGTCTTGAGGCATAAAGCTGCTTGGTGTGAGAGTACTTTCTGGCCTTCTGCATGTCAGCAGTTCTTCCTTTCTTTCCTAGAAGGAGTTCCATCAGAGGATTCTGGATTCATCTAAAGAAAGGAAGTGGTGGGGATCTGGGAGGGATGTGTAGAATTTCCTGGCGTTGGGGAAGGTGGGGAACAAGCACTTCATGTGTGTTCAGGAAGATGTTTCCAGGCCTAGAGTGGGATTTGGGATCAGCATTGAGGGTCTCATAAGAAAGAAGCAGCAGGGTTGGGAGTCAGGGACTGAGCAGAGGACTGAGGAGGGAAGGGAAGGAAGGCAATCATCTTTCCTGTGGCCCCATTTCTCCCTTAGACTTTCGCCAAGGAGGAACCAAAGGAAGATATTGACGTCTCTATTCTGCCCCAGCTGGAGCACTGCAGCTCCAAGAAGATGAACACATGGCTTGGTGTGTGGGATGTGGTGAAGGAGGGGCAGGAGCAGCTGAGGCGGGAGAGATAGGCAAGGGCAGTTGGCTTGGAGGAGAGGAGGCAGAGAGCTTGTCAACCCAGCTTGATGTCCCACCCCTTTGTCATTGCATTAATCTTTTCTGAGAATAGAGGAGAGTTGATCTTTTGCTGTGAGAATCTTAGGGTCCAAAGCAGGGATGAAGATGAACTTGTATTCAGCAGAGGGACCAGTGGGGATGGCCCCATCATCAGACTCGGTACCATCTGTGTCTGGTCAGCTCCCTGGAGTAAGACTGAGACTGTGAGGTCATGGGTATAGGCCCCCTTGGCCTTACTGACATTGCTTTGATTCATGGCCACAACTGGCAAACCTACCGTAAGCCTGGAAAGCCATCTTCCCACCTGGAGGGTAAGGGGAGAGACATTGTGTGTGGCCCAGACTGGCCCATTCCTGGCCATTCATCAGGCTCTTGCTTGACTGACAGCTGCTCATGACCATCATCTTCCTTTGTGAATTCCAGGAGGCAGCAGTGAGGTCTGGACAAGTTGGGTGGACATAGAGATAGGGGACACGGGAAGAGATGTGCTGGGTCATAGGGGCTGGATTGGAGAGGAGAGTCCCCTTTTCACTGTGGAGCTATGAGGAGGATCAGCAGNGGGATGAAGATGAACTTGTATTCAGCAGAGGGACCAGTGGGGATGGCCCCATCATCAGACTCGGTACCATCTGTGTCTGGTCAGCTCCCTGGAGTAAGACTGAGACTGTGAGGTCATGGGTATAGGCCCCCTTGGCCTTACTGACGTTGCTTTGATTCATGGCCACAACTGGCAAACCTACCGTAAGCCTGGAAAGCCATCTTCCCACCTGGAGGGTAAGGGGAGAGACATTGTGTGTGGCCCAGACTGGCCCATTCCTGGCCATTCATCAGGCTCTTGCTTGACTGACAGCTGCTCATGACCATCATCTTCCTTTGTGAATTCCAGGAGGCAGCAGTGAGGTCTGGACAAGTTGGGTGGACATAGAGATAGGGGACACGGGAAGAGATGTGCTGGGTCATAGGGGCTGGATTGGAGAGGAGAGTCCCCTTTTCACTGTGGAGCTATGAGGAGGATCAGCAGTAGGTGAAGGGCAAAGAGAGAGGATGATAATTGAGTGGCCCATGAGGACGAGGAGGTCCTCTTGCCCAGGTGACCCTTTCCTGCTATCCTAGGCATTTTCTATGGTTACAAGGGGCTGCTGCTGCTGCTGGGGATCTTTCTTGCTTATGAGACCAAGAGTGTGTCCACTGAGAAGATCAATGACCACAGGGCTGTGGGCATGGCCATCTACAATGTGGCGGTGAGCTTCCCGGACACCTGGCGTTGACCCTGTGGGCTGACTGCAGCAACCCAGATGTATTTGGTGGACTGGGAAGAATCAGACGCTAGATCTGGGATCAGTTGCATGGAAGTTTTAAAATGTTTGTTAATGCCTCAGATTTATAAAGCACTTTACAGTTTATAACGCACTTTACAGTTTATAAAGCACACTACAGACATTTTATAATTAATCTTCTTGCAACTATCTAATGAAGTAGATATTAGTATCCTCACTTTATAGGAACACAGAGAAGGTAAATTCTTGTTTGTGGTTCATGGGCTGGTCTCTGAACCAGGATTTCTGGCCGGGTATCCCCAGGGACTGACTGATTCAGGACCTGAATGTGTGTATAGAGATCCTGGGAGTTCCTGCCTTGAGGGAGGGGTTGACCTAGAT